ACAAAAGAAAGAGAGGTTTAGTTTGAGAAAGTTTGGATCAAAAGCCAGAATAGGTTTTAGTGTAGTTTTAGTCAGATCCTGGTTCATCGCTCGGGCTCGGACTCTATAGACTCGTTTTTAGTCTAGGGGCTTCTCGCCACAGGGTCACCACGACAACGACAAACAAAAGTCAAAAATGTAATACGTTTTCTACAGTCACGATGCATTCAAGAGCCAATGGGATCACTGCAACAGACCACAACGAGCCTCAGGTCTCTCTCTGGTCTCACTCTGGTCTCTCTCTGGTCTCTCTGTGGTCTCTCTGTGGTCTCTCTCTCAGGTCTCTCTCTGGTCTCTCTCTTTGGTCTGTCTCTGGTCTCTCTCTGGTCTCTCTCTGGTCTCTCTCTCAGGTCTCTCTCTGGTCTCTCTCTGGTCTCTCTCTGGTCTCTCTCTTTGGTCTCTCTCTTTGGTCTGTCTCTGGTCTCTCTCTCTGGTCTCTCTCTGGTCTCGCTCTGGTCTCTCTCTGGTCTCTCTCTTTGGTCTGTCTCTGGTCTCTCTCAGGTTTCTCTCTCAGGTCTCTCTCTGGTCTCTCTCTGGTCTCTCTCTGGTCTCTCTCTGGTCTCTCTCTGGTCTCTCTCTTTGGTCTCTCTCTGGTCTCTCTCTGGTCTCTCTCTCAGGTCTCTCTCTCTTTGGTCTCTCTGGCCTCTCTCTGGTCTCTCTCTTTGGTCTGTCTCTGGTCTCTCTCAGGTCTCTCTCTCAGGTCTCTCTCTGGTCTCTCTCTGGTCTCTCTCTGGTCTCTCTCTGGTCTCTCTCTGGTCTCTCTCTGGTCTCTCTCTGGTCTCTCTCTGGTCTCTCTCTCAGGTCTCTCTCTGGTCTCTCTCTGGTCTCTCTCTGGTCTCTCTCTGGCCTCTCTCTGGTCTCTCTCTTTGGTCTCTCTCTGGTCTCTCTCTGGTCTCTCTCTCAGGTCTCTCTCTCTTTGGTCTCTCTCTGGCCTCTCTCTGGTCTCTCTCTTTGGTCTGTCTCTGGTCTCTCTCTGGTCTCTCTCTGGTCTCTCTCTTTGGTCTGTCTTTGGTCTCTCTCTGGCCTCTCTCTGGTCTCTCTCTTTGGTCTGTCTCTGGTCTCTCTCTGGTCTCTCTCTGGTCTCTCTCTGGTCTCTCTCTGGTCTCTCTCTGGTCCCTCTCTCTGGTCTCTCTCTGGTCTCTCTCTGGTCTCTCTCAGGTCTCTCTCTGGTCTCTCTCTGGTCTCTCTCTGGTCTCTCTGGTCTCTCTCTGGTCTCTCTCTGGTCTCTCTCTGGTCTCTCTCTGGTCTCTCTCTGGTCTCTCTCTGGTCTCTCTCTTTGGTCTCTCTCTGGTCTCTCTCTGGTCTCTCTCTGGTCTCTCACTGGTCTCTCTCTGGTCTCTCTCTGGTCTCTCTCTGGTCTCTCTGTGGTCTCTCTGTGGTCTCTCTCTGGTCTCTCTGTGGTCTCTCTCTCTGGTCTCTCTCTGGTCTCTCTCTGGTCTCTCTCTGGTCTCTCTCTGGTCTCTCTCTTTGGTCTCTCTCTTTGGTCTGTCTCTGGTCTCTCTCTGGTCTCTCTCTGGTCTCTCTCTGGTCTCTCTCTCTGGTCTCTCTCTGGTCTCTCTCTGGTCTCTCTCTTTGGTCTCTCTCTTTGGTCTGTCTCTGGTCTCTCTCTCTGGTCTCTCTCTGGTCTCGCTCTGGTCTCTCTCTGGTCTCTCTCTTTGGTCTGTCTCTGGTCTCTCTCTGGTCTCTCTCTGGTCTCTCTCTGGTCTCTCTCTCTGGTCTCTCTCTGGTCTCTCTCTGGTCTCTCTCTTTGGTCTCTCTCTGGTCTCTCTCTGGTCTCTCTCTCAGGTCTCTCTCTCTTTGGTCTCTCTGGCCTCTCTCTGGTCTCTCTCTGGTCTCTCTCTGGTCTCTCTCTGGTCTCTCTCTGGTCTCTCTCAGGTTCTCTCTCTGGTCTCTCTCTGGTCTCTCTCTGGTCTCTCTCTGGTCTCTCTCTTTGGTCTCTCTCTGGTCTCTCTCTGGTCTCTCTCTCAGGTCTCTCTCTCTTTGGTCTGTCTCTTGTCTCTCTCTCAGGTCTCTCTCTGGTCTCTCTCTGGTCTCTCTCTGGTCTCTCTCTCAGGTCTCTCTCTGGTCTCTCTCTGGTCTCTCTCTGGTCTCTCTCTCAGGTCTCTCTCTGGTCTCTCTCTCTGGTCTCTCTCTTTGGTCTCTCTCTTTGGTCTGTCTCTGGTCTCTCTCTCTGGTCTCTCTCTGGTCTCTCTCTGGTCTCTCTCTGGTCTTTCTCTGGTCTCTCTCTGGTCTCTCTCTGGTCTCTCTCTGGTCTCTCTCTGGTCTCTCTCTGGTCTCTCTCTGGTCTCTCTCTGGTCTCTCTCTGGTCTCTCTCTCTGGTCTGTCTCTCTGGTCTCTCTCTGGTCTCTCTCTGGTCTCTCTCTGGTCTCTCTCTGGTCTCTCTCTGGTCTCTCTCTCTGGTCTCTCTCTCTTGGTCTCTCTCTGGTCTCTCTCTGGTCTCTCTCTCTCTCAGGTCTCTCTCTCTTTGGTCTCTCTCTGGCCTCTCTCTCTCTCTGCTCTGGTCTCTCTCTGGTCTCTCTCTGGTCTCTCTCTTTGGTCTGTCTCTGGTCTCTCTCTGGTCTCTCTCTATGGTCTCTCTCTCTGGTCTCTCTCTGGTCTCTCTCTCTGGTCTCTCTCTGGTCTCTCTCTGGTCTCTATCTGGTCTCTCTCTGGTCTCTCTCTGGTCTCTCTCTGGACCTCTCTCTGGTCTCTCTCTCTCTCTCTAGTCTCTCTCTGGTCTCTCTCTGTCTCTCCTCTGGTCTCTCTCTGGTCTCTCTCTGTCTCTCTCTGGTCCTCTCTCTGGTCTCTCTCTGGTCTGTCTCTGGTCTCTCTCTGGTCTCTCTCTAGTCTGGTCTCTCTTCTGGTCTCTCTGGTCTCTCTCTGGGTCTCTCTCTAGGTCTCTCTCTCAGTCTCTCTTCTCTGGTCTCTCTCTTGTCTCTCTCTGGTCTCTCTCTGTCTCTCTATCTGTCTCTCTCTGTCTCTCTCTGGTCTCTCTCTGGTCTCTCTCTGGTCTCTCTCTGGTCTCTCTCTCTGGTCTCTCTCTCTCCCTGGTCCCTCTCTAGTCTCTCTCTGTGGTCTCTCTCTCTCTGGTCTCACTCTCTATGTCTCGCTCTCTCGGTCTCTCTCTCTGGTCTCTCTCTCTGGTCTCTCCTCTCTGGTCTCTCTCTGGTCTCTCTCTGGTCTCTTCTCTGGTCTCTCTCTCTCCTCTGGTCTCTCTCTGGGACTCAGCACAGATTTAAATGGTATCTCGTCTCAGGTCTCTCAGCCTCTGGTCCTCTCTCTCTGTCTCTCTCTGGTCTCTCTCTGGTCCCCCATCTCCCCCCGCCCCCCCCCCCCCGTCTCTTTCCATACATCACTGCTGCATTATTGAGCCTGGATGTAAAATGTATCAGACGTGTGTGAAGGGGGAAGCAGCAGGTGGTCTGTGCGGCCGAAAAACTGTGGAAAAAAACCAGAGATTTCCTCAAAGATCTGAAGTTAAAGTTTAAATGGCCCTGGAGCGAGGAAGAGCAGAGCTGTAGGGGCCCCCGGAGCTGAGGGCCCCCACAGCTGCTGACCTGCACCATGTACAAGCCAAGTTTGGAACCGGCTGTAATCAGAGAAGACTGAGTCAGAAGTGAGATCTGGAAACTTTATAAATGTGACTTTGTGTTTGTTTAGTGACAGAATACTGTTATCTGAAGGGAGCACATTACCCCTGTATTAGCATCCCTCCACTGGCTCTCTGGACCATGTGAGGAGAGACCAGAGAGAGACCAGGACCATGTGAGGAGAGACCAGGACCATGGGAGGAGAGACCAGAGAGACCAGGACCATGTGAGGAGAGACCAGAGAGAGACCAGGACCATGTGAGGAGAGACCAGAGAGACCAGGACCATGTGAGGAGAGACCAGGACCATGTGAGGAGAGACAAGGACCATGTGAGGAGAGACCAGAGAGAGACCAGGACCATGTGAGGAGAGACCAGAGAGAGACCAGGACCATGTGAGGAGAGACCAGAGAGACCAGGACTATGTGAGGAGAGACAAGGACCATGTGAGGAGAGACCAGAGAGAGAGCAGGACCATGTGAGGAGGGACCAGAGAGACCAAGACCATGTGAGGAGAGACCAGAGAGACCAGGACCAATGTGAGGAGAGACCAGGACCATGTGAGGAGAGACCAGGACCATGTGAGGAGAGACAAGGACCACGTGAGGAAAGACCAGAGAGAGACCAGAGAGAGACCAGAGAGAGACCAGAGAGAGACCAGGGAGAGACCAGAGAGAGACCAGAGAGAGACCAGAGAGAGAGACCAGAGAGAGACCAGAGAGAGACCAGAGAGAGACCAGAGAGAGACCAGAGAAAGTCGAAGCAGAACAGATCAGGAGAGCCAGAGCACACCTCAGAGAGTCACAGGGTCTGCCAGAGACAGTGACAGAAGAGCTCGCCAGGACCAAAGCAGAAGCGGGACCGATGAGAGTCCCAGATTCACCACAGGGAGGGGAGAGGGGGACAGAGGAGAGCCGAGAGGAGAGGGGAGAGGGGGAGACCAGGGAGGCTCATAGACCCAACCATAACTGGGAAAATCACTTTCTACCATCTGCGATTCATAACGACCTCAGCCTTAATGAAGGAGGAAAACAGATCTGTCTATGATACCAGAGAGACCAGAGAGAGAGACCAGAGAGAGACCAGAGAGAGAGACCAGAGAGAGACCAGAGAGAGACCAGAGAGAGAGAGACCAGAGAGAGACCAGAGAGACCAGAGAGACCAGAGAGAGAGACCAGAGAGAGAGAGACCAGAGAGAGACCAGAGAGAGACCAGAGAGAGACCAGAGAGAGACCAGAGAGACCAGAGAGAGAGACCAGAGAGAGACCAGAGAGAGACCAGAGAGAGAGACCAGAGAGAGAGACCAGAGAGAGACCAGAGAGAGACCAGAGAGAGACCAGTGTGAGACCAGAGAGAGAGACCAGAGAGAGACCAGTGTGAGACCAGAGACAGA